CTGCCCACTCTAAAGCCCCCCAGAGGGCTTTGCATCCCACTGGGTGGGAGCTCCAGATCTTCTCAGGCCCTGAAGCCACTTCTGCTGGCCTCTGGGGACCTGTCCTCCTCGTGTCCTGCTACCTCCTCCCCTCACGTGACTCTAGCATCCTGCCTTTCTCCCTGGGTTTTGGGGATGTGGCCAGGCTTTCTCTGGAGCTGTGGCCTTTGTACGTGCTTTTTGGTCTAGCCAGGGGCTCTTCCCACTTTGCTCTCCTGGCCCCTCATCCTGGAGCTGTTCCCTCACCCCTCCCACCCCGTCCCCTGGGCTGCATGGTGACCCCAGCCCTCTTGTCTCTCCACCCTCCGTCCTGCTTCTCTGTTACACTGTCTGCTGGAAATGACCCTCTCTGTCTCATTTGTGTTCTGTCTCTTCTTACTAGGATGTTCGCGTGTCATCGGGGCGCCTGCCTTGCTTGTCTCTCTCTCTCCCAGCTGAATAAACTCCTGCTGTGTACCCCCACCAACCTCTCTCGTCCCGAGGACGGCATCATGGCCTCATTCTCTGTCACAGCTGTTTCCAGACCCCACACAGACTGTCCCCCTTCTGTGAGCGTGGATGGCATCCAGCTGGGGACAGTGTCCTCGATTTGTTTCATTTTCTCTTGTAATCACATTCTAGTCTGCCCGCCTGAGATTACAGTCCTCATTTCCTCTCTTTCCCTTCTGTGCTCCCCAATTTTCTTGGCTACACATTTCAAAGTAATCTCTTAGTTATTTCAGATTGTACTTTTCACCTGAGTAATGAGACTGTGCAGCGCCTTAGAGCTGTGACGTTGTCTTGCTAAAGCGTAAGAAGAACTTTGGTGAAGAGAAGGGAACATTGGGAGGATTGCCTGTGCTATTCCATATGCATACATTTGGTTCTAAATACATTCAGTTGAGGAAAATTTTAGTATTCTGGAATAAGAATGAGAAAATGCCAAACGACAGTGTGAAGAAAAAACCCCATGTTATCTCCCCCTGCTGAGGTGACGTTCGTGCCACACAGTGTGTGTGTCACCTAGATCGTAACAGCACGCTCACGGTTCGGTCACCTGCTTCCTCCGCTCGGAAATACCTCTCAATAAATACCACAAGCCAATTTTAAATGGCTCAGGAGCGTTAAATTTCATGGATGTGCTGTAAATTACTAAACAAATCTGTTGTTGGACATCAGGTTATTTCCTTTCACTATCACGGGCACCTAATTTACTTAACATATTTTCTTTTCCTTTTTAAAATCGCTGTTCTGGAAAATACTGTGTTCTTTCTCTTTTTGTCTCCCTTTGGCAGGAGTGTGTGGGACGCAGTCTTGTGGGATATCAGCATGTCATTTGCCCTGTACGAGGCTTTGTTGTGACTCCGTCCACCTACCTCATGTTTCCCTTTGTGGCGGTGACCGCTTGTTTTCCACACTGCCCTGTGGTTCTAAAAACAAGTGTCACGCAGCGGCTCTGTTTCCCGAGCCTGCCGCCGCTCACACGCTCATGCTCCCTTCCTGCCTTCCAGCGGAGGCTGGTCTCCAAGAACACGCCGTCGTAAACAAAGTTCTCCGAACACCTCCTGATTGACAATGCGGGGTATTTTTATTTAAAATGACTGTTCACTGGCTACTCTGAAACATGATGTAACCTTGACCTTTATATTCACCACTGTTTTTAATGTTCTTTTAAATGGCAGGTAGTATAATACAAGGTGACTTCTTCCTTGATGTCACTTCTAAACAGTACGTAGGGTACTGCATCGTAAAGCGATAACTAAATGGCTGTGGATCCGTCGTGTCTATAGTGAAATGCAGTGGAGAATGTGTTTAAATAATGCGCAGGCTTCTGTAATGCTGCTCTCCTCTCTTACCATTGGGTCATCAGTGGGAGAAGTTTTCAAAGAAGCATTATAAAGCCTCAGAGAAGTGTTGAGTGATTGTTTCTTTCTTTTTAAAAAACATTTTATTTTAGAGAGAGGGAAAGAGAGGGAGGAAGCAGGGGAGAGAAATGTCAGTGTGTGGCTGCCTTTCACGTGCCCCCAGGCATGTGCCCTGACTGGGAATTGAACTGATGACCTTTCGGTTTGCAGGCCAATGCTCAATCCAGTGCTCCACAGCAGCCAGGGTCTGAGTGGTATTTCTTGACTTTTCTGTGATTTTAGGTTTCTGAGTAAAGTCTGTGCATCTCGATCAAGTTTCTGTTTGGTGCATGATGAAAATGATCATTGGAATCTTCTTTAGCTAAGAACGTGCGGAGAAGAGCGTGCTGATGGCCCCCATGGCCATCCCCCCTTTAGCCATTCTGGGTGGGGTGTCCTCTGAGAGTAGGAGCCAGATAAGGGTCCAGGGTGGGATGGCTGTGGGGCGGCAGCCTCTGTCCCAGAGAGCCCTGTGAGCTTGGTCGCAGAAGGTAGGACAGCTGGAACAGTGGGTTCAAGTGTCCAAGCTGCTAAGAATGCGACTTTAGCCAAACAAACCAGAAAAGCTAGTATTTCTGCTGGGGCCTCAGGCTGTGTTCCGTGCATGACCATTGGTTTTCTTTTGACGATCCCCATTACTGAGTCATGCCAAAGGCTTGAAATGGAGCCTGTGCTAGGAACTATTGAAGAAAAGGGCACCGAGGACAAATTTGAGAGAGAGATTAAACTGTGTAACAGAAGGACAGACTAATGACACAGAACCTGCCATTCATTCCACGAGTGTTGTTCCATCCTGCTCTGTACCAGCTGCGGCTTTGGGAATTCGGCGATGCATGTGACACGGTTTCCTGCTCGCCAGGAGCCACTGCGCAGCTCAGCTTCTCGGTCTACGGGCCTCAAATGAAGGAGGCTTGGGTTCCTCACAGCCACAGATTTCAAATAGCAAGATTCTAGCAGTTGTGAACTGAAAGTGGGTTTGGGGCTCAGGACTGTCAGCGTGGGCAGACGAGCGGGGAGATGTGGGAATTGGTGGTGGGCGGAGGCCTGCAGGTGGCCCGTGGGCGGGTGGACTGGTGTGGTACCTGGGGAGCAGCTTCTGTTGTGCAGACCGTGCCATGGGTAGCTGGTTTTGATGGCGCTGCTCTGAAGGCTTGCGGCCTGATGTGGTGCCCCCAAAGATCCTAGAAGTGACGCTTTCCTGGCAGTTCACCCAGCTCTTGCCCAGTGCTCCGCAAAGTGTAGCCACCTGACTGGTGCCAAGAGATAGGCACAGACATTGAAAGTGAGTATTTACCAATTTCTGTAGCAACTTGACTTTGCAACCAAGTTCAAGTACGTGAACAGGATGTCGATCCATGTAGGTTTTGCGGGACTTCTATGTGTAAATTCACATCTGGCCGGAGCTGGGAACTGGTGCGCTTGGGACCCTGTCCCCTTCCCTAATGAATAGAAGCAGAACGAAACAACCTCGTCCTGCATGGCATTGGTTTGAGAAACAGCATTCCAGGCCTAACATGGAGGTAGCGGGAGGTGAGGCTGTGGGCCCCAAAGTCAGGGACTTAAAATCGATCTAGGGCCCTGGCTGGCATAGCTCAGTGGATTGAGCGCGGGCCTGCGAACCAGAGTATCGCGGTTCAATTCCCAGTCAGGGCACATGCCTGGGTTGCAGGCCAGTTCCCAGCAGGGGACGCATGAGAGGCAACCATACATTGATGTTTCTCTCCCACTCTTTCTCCTTCCCTTCCCTTCTCTCTCTCGAAAAAAAAAAAATCGATCTAAAGCCATTTGCCACATTCCATTTTCGGTTCAGGTCTCCGTCAGTGTGCAGACGCTCCTCACCGCCCCTTCTTCCCTTTCCTTCTGGTCACCGGCCTGGGTTCTCTTTTCATGGATGTTATTTTTCTGTGTACATTGTATGCAATTCTGTGCACGTGTTCTGTACACATTACACACAATTCACAAACTCATCATCATAAGGAGTATTAAAGTCTTCGTTGTGTTCACATGCCATAGTTCTTAGCTCCTGTTTGGAGCCATTGCTCCTTTTGCCTGTTATAAATAGTACATCCATGAATATTTTTGAACAAAGTGTTTCTTTTTAAATTTTCTTGGGGTTCCCAGAGTCTGTATCCAAAGAAGAAGTGGTTTTATTGCTCCACAGACACACAGAGCTGATTTACATTGTGGGAGTGGATATATAGACTTCCTCTGAGGCTCCAGGCCGTGCAATTACAATACTTTTTTGTTTTGCTAGTTTGGTAGGCTTATATACTCTCCTTGAGATTGTTTTAATGTGCTTACTTCAGGAGGTGAGGATGTGATGATTTGATTTTAATATTTTCCCACATTTAAGACTAAACAGTCTTAAAAAGACTCTTACCAAGTTGAAAGTGGATGTTGACATCTTGTGTGTAATTTTATCAACTTTACATGGAATGCATGTAAGCTTTTCTTTGTTGTATTTCATATCTTTACCATTCTGTTGTTGGTTGTCTCATTGTTTTGTTATATTTGGTGGTGTAAAACTTGTTCATTAGTGTTTATATATTTATACTCAACTGTGCTGTCTCCTTTGCGATTCTGTGTTTTCTTGGCCAGAAGTTATTTTCCCCTCCACAAGGGGAATAAATATGCTATTCTGCTCTTTTCTAGTTTTTAAAATGCTGTCTCTTGGATCGCTCGGGACCTTATTACAGTGTTTGGTATAAGATGTGGATCTAGGTTAATTTTCCTCTATACCGAAGTCTAACTGTACCAGTAACTTTTGTTAGTGATTTCCCCCTTATTCCTGTGATTCTTGTGATTCTTGTGGCTTGACATAGTAAGTTTTTGATATTTAGAATGAATATATTTTTGGAATCTCCATTATTATACTACCATTTGTTTCAAAAATTAACCCAACGTATGTGCGTTTTGTTTGTAATCTATTTTAATAAAGCGTCCCACCACCATGACTTAGAAAGAACATCATTTTACATCCTTTCCTCTTATTCTTCGAGTTGTGTTTCACTGTTAGTTGGTATAGTTCTCTAAATCTACCTGATTTTTAAAAATTGTTTAATTTTTATTTTCTTTTAAAGGCATTGCATAAGTCCTAAGACAAAGGACACCGGACGTGAAGAAAGAGGCCCGCCCCAGTCTGTCCGATCTAGTGCAGTCACTTCTCTTCTCGTGCGTGCCCTGCTAGCTTGACTACAGAGCCGGGCTGCGATCCTTGTTTCTGCACTTTTAGCACTGTGACTACGCAGAAGTCCTGCCTGACTTCTGGCTGCACTGTTGGCCCCATGAAGACAAGTGCTTTGGGTGCTCTTGGAAGCAGCGATTTTAGGGGGGTTGTGGCTGGGTAATGAGCAGAGGAGGCTGAGGGTTCGAAAACCTTATGAGTCAGTCAGCTTGTCTCCGACCCAGGCTGTAAACCCTTCTCTGTGCTTTGGTCACAGAGGAATTGGGAGAGATGTGTCAGCACAGACTTGTCACCATTAGTGAAAGAAGCTGTATGTGCCATGGGGTATTGACTGTGTATGTGGCAAAAACTGCCTGACGGGGCCAATATTTAGACATGAGTGAGGCAAGAGGGGAGAAAATGTAGATCGTTAGACTGGGGCGTTTGTTCTGTATGAGGTAGCTTCTCATGTGTTCTGTCTCAGTGTGTCCTGAATTTTTAGAATTACTGGCAAGTTCCCTGGGTGGTCTCCCCATCTCAGAGCTGCTAGCAGAGGGGCACATGTGGCTTCAGAGGGCATCCGTGTGCCCGATGGACGATGCCTGTGAGGTTTTAACAGAACCCTTCCCGGTGTGGCGGGGTTCGTCTCTGAGCGAGCGCCATGGCATTTTTCTGTGCGATTATGGACTTTGTGACAGTATCAAGTGACTCCAGAAACTGAGAATGAATGTTTAGTATATTAAATTTTTTATCTAATTCCCTAATAATTCAAAAACTCTTGGCAATGAAATTAGCAAAGACTTTATGATTATTTCAGAGATTATAAACTCTTACATTGGATCACTACTCTACACTTAAACATTTTTCTTCTTCTACTTGATAATTTCCTGGTTTCTTACTAGTTGCCTAATGTATTTTTCTGACAGATTAGTATTTGTTACCCCCTAGCCTGAGTGGCTGTCAGTCACTTTTTCCTTCTACCTGCTGTTTCCCCTTGTGAAAGGATTGAAATAATAGGAGATGCATGTAATACACAGAACTTTTAGCTTGCAGTGAATAATTACCAATATCTGTGTGGTACATTACAGCACAGAATGTGTTTCATCTTCTTTGAGGTTCATGAAACCCTGAGCGGTGGGAATTATTGGTACAGCCATCTTTATAGAGGTGGATACTTGCAGCTCAGAGACTGTGTAGCAACCTGCCTTCGTCTACAAGGTGATTAGTGGCAGTTCAGAAACTCTGGTTGCAAATCTCATGTTTCCCCTGTGTATCTCCTGGTTATCATTCTTTTGGACAGAATTGCATTTTATTGGAAGAGAATGCAAGTGTTTTGTTTTGTTTTTTTAAATCACAGTATGTGGTGCTCAACTTAATGGGCTCAATGAGTCATTGACCACTATAATGATGCTGTATGTTTTTTCTTGAGGATCATGACTATGCAAAAGAAGATGCTTATTTTAAAAAGTATTTTGAAAATACTTTCCAAACTTACTGATCAAGTGAATGTAGTGTGAAGAACTTTCTAATTTTATTCAAATGATCTCATTTAAGGGAAAAATTTATCCATAAGAACAAGCTGTAGAATTCTGAGTTTTTGGATGCTCCTTTATAGTCAAGCTTTAAAAATTCACTTTGGAGGTATCTGTTGCCAGAATATAAAATCAAGGTTGATTTTTGTCTATCAGCCTGTACCCCACAGCCTTGCTCTGTTCATGCATTGGTTTTACTGGTTGTTATTTCTAGTAGTTGATAGATTCCTTCCAATTTCCCATATAAACAATAATGTCTTCAGCAAATTGAGACCATTTTACTTTTTTCTTTGTCATCTTCATACTCTTTTCCTTTGATTTTAGCAATGTATATGCTACAGTAATCGTCACGAGTTTGAATTAGTTATAATGTTCTCATTGTGATAAGACTCCTTTATGTCTGGCTTGTAAACCATGCAGACAGTGTTGGAGAATTTTATTAAAAGTTATAATTTCAAAACATGTACTGATTCTCATTAGCAATATATGAAAAATAATTTTTGAGTTATTAGGACTTAACATTTTTTTCATATATTGATAATGAGCATCGGTATATGTTTTGAAATTGTAAAGGGAGGACACATGGTGATGGAAGGAGACTTGACCTGGTGTGGTGACCGCACAGTGCAATATACAGCTGATGTGTTACAGAATTGTACACCCGAAACCTATATAATTTTACTAACCACTTTAACCCCAGTAAGTTCAATAAAAATTTAAGAAATGCAATGTCAGGAATTTTGATAGGTGTTCGTTGGCAATTCTGGCAGTACTTTAGGAACTTTTAAAAGTTTACAGCAGTGAGACAAACAGGATCTTACTGAAAATCCACTCCACTGAGGCAGTGGGGTAATTTTAGATGCTAAGTTTACAGAGAAGCATGTCAGGCTGAGTGAGAGAAAAGGAGAGATGAGGTTGGGGTGGAAGTCAAGTATCTAAAGTGCAAACAATGTTTTGACTATTCATGGTAACAAAATGCCTATAATTAAATAATATTTGAGATATTGCACGGGGGGATAAAAAGAAAGAAGTCCAAATTTACCTCAGACGCTTCCAAGCTGTGTGAACATGGACAAATGACATACTTAGTTTTTTTTTAAAGAACTGTAAAATGGAAGTAATAATAAGCAGCTTGCAGTATTGTTTGGATCAGAAATAATATATGTCAAGCACTTGGCACATATTAGGCATGCAATAATGTGTACTGATAGCTATGATTGTTACAGGACTCCGTTCTTTAGCATTTACTTATTAAATCATTATTTAGGTATTAAATTGTTACACTTTATTCGTGGATACTAGCAAGTATCACGTGTCATCAGAGGAAGGGAACAATATCTTTGAAGAACTCTGTCTTGCTAAAAGCGTATAAACACTGTGTACTGGAGTCTTGCCCTGACCAGTGAGGAAGTAACAGTGACAGACCACTGCGGGGATAGTACTTTAATCATTTGCCAACTTCCTTCTGTCCCTTATTGTCATTTACTCTCTTGTGGGGTGTCAGACAACCATGCTTACTTCCCAGGACCTTGAGGACCTTGCTGCTGTGACCCTGTGCTCCCTTGTCCAAGGAGCACCCAGCACCTGGGGTTGGGGAGACGCTGCCACTGTGGATGTCTGTGGGGTCACTGGCAGTCACTGCCGATGACTCTGACAGCCAGGCGGCCTTTGCCCTTTGCCAGGCTTTGTCTTCATCATTCCCCTTCCTTCCCCTTCCCTTTCTCTGTGTCCAGACTGCTTGGTGAGGCGTCCTTGGCTAATGGTGTCACCTCTTTCTTCTAGAATTCCGAAGGTGGACTCTATGTGTGCATGAATACGTTTTTGGCCTTTGGAAGGGAACACGTTGAAAGACATTTTCGAAAAACCGGACAGAGTGTGTACATGCACCTGAAAAGACATGTGCGAGAGGTGAGAGATGCATATTTGGAGAACTGCCTTGGTGTCCTTCCTGTAACATTGTCTTACGGTGTCTGTCACGTGGGGATTTTACTGTGCCGTGTAACCCCTGGTTCTCTGATGATGGGAAACAGAACAGGGCTGTTCGTAGAAATTCATAGAGTCCCCCAAATCTTTCCTTAACCAGATTTATTTTTCTCTTCCTCTGAACCTCTGCTTCCAGTTAAGAAGATATGAGTGGACTGATGGAAAAATATTAAAGTAAAAAAATACAAAAAGGTACAGAAAATAATACAAGATACACTCATGAATCTAAAAGTTAGAAATAAAAAGTATCTGGATCTTTTTTGCTTCATACTGTTTTTTCAGCAAGAGAAAGAGCTTTCTGGAAAGTTGGAGTCTGTTTTGTTTCCCTCACTCCCAGAAGTGACCATAGTCATAAAGTTGTTGTTTCTCATTCCTGTGCATGTCATTATATTTTATTTATGAGTAGGTATTCATCATCGATATGTAGACTGATTATGTGTTTTAAAGATGTAGATAAATAGTGCCATACTCTTACTTGTAATTCTGTGTAAAACTTTCCCTCTCAGGGAAACAGTTTTGAAGTCTGTCCATGTTGTGATGCATTTGGATGTACTTAATTCAATCGAATAGTTGTTTGGTATTCTACCTCGCCATTTGTTATTCCGTTCCATTGATGAACATTTAGCTTGTTTCTATTTTTTTTTGCTTCTATTAACAATGTAACAGTTAACATTCTTATACTTTTCTCCTGGGGTACAGGTTCAAGTTTTTTTAGGAAATATATGTAGAAGAGGTAATGTTGGTGGGGGTGTGTTCATCCTTACTTTTACTAGATGTTGAGAAATTGTTCCCCAGATCGGCTGCGCCAATGTAAACTCCTGTCTGCAGTGAACTCCTGGGTTTCCACAGCACCAGTCTGATGGCTGTGAAGTAGCATGAAGATATTTGGCATTTCCTTCTGTGAGAGTTGGAATTCTTTATTTATGTTTATTGGCCATTCTGGTTTTCTCTTCTCCAAAGAGGCGCGTTGCCTGTTTATATTTTTGACCTATTTCTCAGTGGATTTTTCTTTTCGTTAAAACTTTTATTTAGTTCTTTTCACATTCTGGATATAAAAACTCTTTGCTCTGTGAATTATTTTGTAGAAGAAAAGCTTTGAATTCTGATATACTAAACTTTTATAAATTGTGCTTTTTGTATGGTGACTGAGAAATTGTTTTCCAACTTAACGCCATAAAGGTATTTCTTCTGATGCTTTTCTTTTTTGAGAAGTGCATGTGTGTGTGCACATGTGTGTTTTAACATTTCAGATCTTTAATCCATCTATAATTTATTTTTACATTTCTGTGAAGTGTGGGAATCTACATTTTATTTTCCATGTTGATAACCAGTTGTCCCACTATTACTAGAGTTGCTCAGTCTTTCCCAATAATTCATAGTGCCACTTTTTTTTTCTTTTAAAGATTTTATTTATTTATTTTTAGACAGAGGGAGAGGGAGAGAGGGAAACATCAGTGTGTGATTGCCTCTCACACGCCCCCTGCTGGGGGCCTGGCCCATAACCGAGGCATGTGCCCTAAGTGGGAATCGAACTTGCGACCCTTTGCTTCGCAGGCTGGCACTCAGTCCACTGAG